TTCCAAAGACTTCCTTGTTGCATCAAGATACCTCCATATGAATTCAAGCATGATGGGAAACATGTGCATGAGGCCAAGAAAATACACGAATGTGATGGAACCTGTCCAAGCGATTTAGGCAAACATGTTATTGAAGAGAATAAAAAACAAAACTTTCATTATTGCGACGTTAAATGCCCAAATTGCGCTTATTATGTAGGTTTCGATTTGAAATTGTGTTAAATTTTATTTTTTACTAATCAGTTTTATCTAGTGTACATTACCTTATGATCACGGAAGAGAACATAATAGTGAACATGGTAAAAAAAAATCCCGAAATTATTTGATTATTTTATGTTTAACTATTTTAAATAATTTTTCAGCGACTGCTCACGGAAATATGTATTTGACGACATTCACTTGTGAAGAAGAAGAATTCGAATTTGAAGGTAAAAATTGGTCTTGTCTGCTAATGAAACGATACATATATTAAGAATAGTAAATTGTTTTAGGACATCGATTAAATGTCGGCGATAGAGGCGATTTTGTACTTTGCCATAAAGTATGTATATATTGGAGAATTTTCCAATAATATAAAAACTAAAATATAATTCAAAACTTTTAGCTTTGTGAAAATATAGGTCGTCATCGTCATATAGATTATTGTAAAGATCCGGCTGTTTGCAGAAGTCTTGTTGATGGAAGAAAAGAAGGGATCTTGGATCACATAAAAGGTTAGTTGATTTTAATTTTCCTTTTATCCCATTGTATTAAAATATGCAAGTGAATTTAGCAAATTTAAGTCCCGATCTGAGTCGCAAGAAAGATTATATATCTCACCGTGTTTTCTGGGAAAGGACTAAATTCCGAGGTAATTGATAATATCGATAAAGTTTTTTCGCGCATTAAATTTTAACATCTGATTTATATTAATATATACATATACCATTTGAACTATACCTAATAAAGATCCATATTCGAAAGAAGACCGCGAAAATTTTAAAAAATGTGATCATGAATGCATTGACGAAAAACAT